GCGCGGGGCGGGCGGGGGCCCGGGGACCTGCCTCAGCTGCAGGGCCCGGCTGCTGGGGCATCGGCGGAGGGGCTGAGGGCCGGGTGCTGTTGCTGGGGTTGGCCTGGGGCAGGGTTGAGCCTGGGGTAGGGAGGAGCAGGGGGTTGGACGAGTCCAGCGGTTCTCCGCTTTGTTTTTGTACCAGGACCCCTTTGTAAACCTCGGTGCCCAGTCCCGACCCGGTGCCCTTCACTCCCGTGTGGGGCAGGGGGTGGATGCATGGAGGTATGGGGCAAGCAGCCCTTTGCAGCGTCTGAGGGAAAAAGCCATGGTTTCCCACATGTTAAAGCAGTGGTTTCATATATCCTTGCGACTGACTTTTGGGTTGTGACCCATGGGTTGAGAAGCGCTGGACTAGATGACCTCTGGAGACCCTTTCCAGTCCAGCTTGTCCAGGGTGCTGTCATCGTCCTGCCCTTAAAACCTGCTGGAGGCACAGGTGGGAAGCGGGGTGTGACTAGGAGAGGCTCTTCAACCTCAGCAAATCATTAAGGGTTTTTGTGAGAAGTAGAAGGAAAAATGCTGAACGTGTTCTGGGCAAGTTGAATTGAATGGAAGTGTGTGAACCAGTAATTCAGATTTCCTTTCGGAGTGAAGAAATTAGAGGCTTCTGAAATGATCAGTATAAAGAAACGGGGAAATCAAGAAAACTAAGATAGGGATCACTGGAAAATTAGGACTAGGTGAGACGAGTACTTGTATGAGATGGTTTGGAAAAGCAGAATCCTGCCTAGCAGGACTAGATGACCTCTGGAGGTCCAGCCCAACCCAACTTTGGTGTGATTCTAGGACAGAGCATGTGTGTTTGGGTTCTCACCACTACTTAATATTATCGGTTATCAGAAAGAAAACACAGAAGTTGTTACTGATCAGATTTGCAGATAAAACGGGAATAGATCAGTAGGTCACTAAACTGCTTCTTCCTTTGTATCTCTCTAGTGTATTTTAACCAGTTAATTTCATGTCCTTACAGCAGCAGGACATTGACAGTGCCCTTGTCCCCCTGCTTTACCTGTGGGAATTTAAGGAGTTTGTGTTTTGGGGCATTCTGCCGAGTAGTTGCATGAGAGGGCTGTTCATGCATTTTTACAAATAGGTTAGATAAACACTTGTATAGGATGGTTTAGGTAGAGATCACCCTGCCGTGAACAGGGAGCTGGACTTCCAGGCCTATTTTTCTATGATTGTATGTATACCTTCCCCGAACACCTCATCTGGGTGCTTCTAGGAAAAGCAGGGGAGTTTCTAGCCCTTCCATCTGTGGAAAGCTGGATGGAAAATAGAAAATGCTCTGAAGTTCAGTGGGAAAAGGCCATGATTTTATCTAAGGGGGCGTAAAGCTAGTGTGTTCATAGGTAAACTAACAAGACACACAAAGACCAATAAACTCTCCAAGCAAAAAGTGCTTGTGGGCCATATATTTGCTCTACCAGGCACCGCTAGGAAAGAAGCCTGGTAGTGAAATCTTTTGTCAGTCACCCTTGCTCCTACCATTTCCCCCCATAAGAGCAGAGAGCTTGACAGGATCCAAAGTCAGAGATCTCCAATAAAGGGTCAGAAATGCACCTCTCACTCAAAGAGAAGTTTCATTAGACTGCCCGTGCTGAACGGCTGGCTTCTTTCTTTTGGCACACAGACCAGATGGGGGGGCGGGTGTTGATTTTCTGTGGCTACTCTTGTGTTCCACACAGTAAATCTGTAAAGCTACATTAGGGGAAAACAGCCACTAGTTTTAGACTACAAGGTTCCTTGGATAAACCTGAGGACATGGTTTGGTCTTTGGATGAAAAGAGTAGGAACACAAGTTAAATCTAGTTGCCATTTCATTCTCTTGTTGTTTGGGAGTGCTGAAAGGGTATGGAACAATTAAGCTTTTTGTCATTAAAGTCAACAGCTTTTATTCAAAGTGAGTATCTCTTCAGAAGAAGTTTGTTTGTTTTAGGTTTTTTTGCAAGCCTACCTTTTGTGTAGAGTTGCATTTTACATACCTCCATGGAATTGATGTTTTAACAGCAAATACAATAATTAGAGATGTCTTGGCTGTGCAATTTTGTATGCTGAGACCAGAAGTAAAAAATGCTTGTAAAAATGGTAGTATCCTCCACATCTAGGTCATGATCTAATTGTACTATAGGAGCTTAAACCATTTTTCAAAACGTTGAACATTGTGGTCATCTGTTTATGTCTTTATCTTCATATCTCAGTAGTGTGGTTGAATAACTAACTGAAAATCTCTTTTGAAATTATGTTTATTTGAATTAAATGTTTTGTATTAGCAAAAGTTCCTAGGGTCTTAGCTTACACTAGTTCAGAACAGCAAAGTATGCTCTGTTCAGTCAAACTAAAACCCTTGTGAGCTAAGGCCACTTTTAGGCAACTGGGGACTCTAACACGTCATGACACAAGGCCTGTATTGCCATTGGCCCCACTTCGGTATCTTGCTTGTCCCCCACCCCCAACCTGGACTTGCCTTTCTGCTCTCCCCACAAGTGTCCATCCTCCTGCCTGAGGAGGGGAAGGGGAACACAGAAGGACCCTAGGCAATACTAACCTGAGCAATCACAGAGTATCTTCATAATAACCCAAACTGACTGAAGTTGTCTTTTTGTCACACTCGAGAGTCCTCTGGGGTTTTGTTGACAGGGCCCCTATACTTACTGTGTTTTGGAGTTAACACCCTACTAAAATATGTAGAGCAGTTCTGTGCTTGATTCAGGCCACCTGCAAACTCAGATGTCACTGTGCCTATTTAAGCTTTTCATATTTACCTTTTTGTATGTACCTATTTAAGCAACCACAGGGTCTATAAGGTTGTGTCATCTTAAGTATATGTGCATGCTCCCAAACCAGGGGCTAGTTATCCTGGGCATAGTACTGAACAAACGCAGCTATTGTTTCTCATTCTGGAGCTATCTTGGGTATCTCTGTCTAGCACCTTGCAAACATACCCACAGGATGATATTCACAAAGGAATTTAGGTACCTATATTCTCTGCACTATTAACAGGGAGAGTTAAGCATCCAGGATTATGATTCACAACAACTAGCAGAGTGAGCAGGGTGAGGATGATTGCACTCATCATTAGGAAACACTGAAGAGGGGAGTGTAGCCAAAATTCTGCCTGGACCTACACTGTAATTAGAGGCCTATGCAATACTGGGATTCACAGGCTAAGACTTCTGCTTAGACTTATTGTCTACCATCTCTTTGGGTACAGGTGCCTGGCTCACTTTTTTTTTTTTTAAGGCACGGTCAGAGGAAAGGTAATGTTTTTGGTACCTGTAGCAACCTTTTATGTAATAGCCCACTGGCTGGCACTCACCCAGGAAGTGGGTGGTCTGGCTTTTAAGCCTGGCTCTGGAGGAAAGCCTCTCTCCACATCTCTCGATTCTCAGGAGAATGCCCTAACCAGAAAGCTCTAAGAAGAGTGCTCTAACCAAAGGCTATGGTGGGCTGGGGGCACTCTCTGTTGTTGTGCCTGTGTTAATCCTTCCCTGTTTCTAATAGCTGTCTTAGCCCACCTTTTTACTTTCCTTGTAATAAAGATAAATTAGGGGATATTTTTTTCCAGAGAGAAAGAAATCATGAAGACCCCAGAAATAGTTTAGAAATAGAATGTCTTTGTTACCAGTTATTTTTATTTTCTTTTTTTCTTTAGATGATTTTAAGCCAGCATCCATAGACACATCTTGTGAGGGGGAGCTCCAAGTTGGTAAAGGAGATGAAGTAACAATAACATTGCCACATATTCCAGTAAGTTTATTGTATGTTACAGGGGTGTAGGTTTTAGCCGTGACTCTTGTATGCTACAGTGCAGTTTTACTTTTCAACTTCGTAGCAAATTCACTGTGGTTTTATTTTCTTGCTGACTGCTATTCAGGTTTATTTTGCTTTAGATGTATTTAATGTGTTGTTGCTTTTACCTTTGATCACAAAACTAAAGCAAAACATTTCAATGTTTGACTATATCAGCATATCATTGTAAAATGCAGTCTATAAAAGTCCAGTCTTCTTTGCGTATAGTTAGTCTTTCTTGGGGTTCTTTGGAAAAAGCTTTTAATTCTAGCTGGAGTTCCAATCCACTTTTTATTAGAGGTGCACCGATAGATCGGTCCATATCATATCGGCACCAGTAAAAGGAAAATTGACATTATCAGCACTCTGCTTTTTTTGGCTGATGTGGCTGATAACACCACATAAATGCTGCGTGCATGCACGCAGCTGCAGTACAGCATGCAGACAGCCAGCCTGGCAGCTTGGAGAGCAGTGTCCGGCTGAAAAGTCTGTTGGGGTGGGGAGAGGGAAGGAGCATGGTGGGGGTGCAGATTGAGGCCCCTGCAGTGAGGGAGGGAGTGGGGCTGGGGTAGGGACAGGAGCTACCCAGCTGGGGTAGGGCATGGGACAGAGCCACAGGGCGGGGTGGGGGCGGATTCCACTGTAGCACATGCCTCTGGGGGAGGCATGGGGGGCATGTGCCCCCTGTATGTGCACATGGGGTGAGGGTGGGCTTCTGCTGCAGGCTGGGGCTGGAGGCTGTGCTGGGCTCTTCCCGGTGCAGGGGCTGGGTCGGGGCTGTGCTTGATGTGATGGCAGCACTGGGAGGAGGAGCTATGGTGAATTTTGGGGTGGCTGTAGCCTTCCTGTACCCCCCCCCCAACCCCAGCGCTGCCACTGTCCAGCCCAAGCGCAGCCTCCAGCCCCAGCCCACAGCAGCAGCCCACCCTCGCCCTGTTCACAAATCTGGGACCCACCCCTTCCCTCTCCCTACCCCTTCACCCACAACAGACTTACCAGCCAGACACTGCTCTCCAAGCTGCCAGGCTGCATATCAGCAGTTGGATCAGAATTGGCCAGTAAGGCTGGTTAATCTTCGGCTGTTGGTATCGGCCCAGAAAATCTTTATCGGTGCACCCCTACTTTTTATTATACTTAGTTCTCTAACTAGGATAAGAAGTTGTTTAGGGAGTCTTTGTTTTATTTTGATGTTCTGATTCCCTTTTAAGTTGTTTTGGTCTTCTTTTCACTTTCCTGTTCTTAAGTTGTTCTGTTTTCTTATTGTAAGCCACCCTGAGCCTTTGTTGGGAAGAGTGGCATATACATTGAATAAATAAATACATAAATAGTTTAAGTATGGATCAAGAAACAACTTTCAGAAGGCTAAAGGTAGACCTTTTAATATGGCTTTTTGTTACTGAAGGTTATGCAAACAACATGTACTGTGTACCCCATCCTCCCCATCCTGTACCTCAACTTTGTAGGAGGTTGGAAGGTGCTTCTGGTCAGATGCAATGAATTTAAATCGCAGTTCCTTCACAAGTTATACAATAAAGATCTGTTGTGCCAAGATGATAGTCAAGTGACAATAAAGAATATGGCCAAACCTTTGTAAATGCTTATGTTTTGTAATAAAGAGCTTGGGTTTTCCACAGTGAAACAAATCCTGCGCCCGTGTTGTAGAATTGGATTTGTGTGTTGGCTCAGGCTAATATTATCAGTCTAACATACTTGAATTAATATACAACATAGATAGGTTTAAAATGGATGGGCAACATTCCTTTCCTTTTCCTTTGATCAACAATCATATTGTTCCCTTATTTTATATTCGTGAATAAAAATTGGTTGTCCTGCACCCTTCCAGATGCCTGTTCTGATTAAAAATTATTTTAATTTTACTCTGGTAAGAACAGAAAATGTCATTTTGATTTGATTCATCCTCTGATTTAAAAAAAAATTCCCCAATTTTTGGATGAAAAAAAGTAACCCAAAACCCACATTTTTCCATGATTAAAATGAAATGCCACCATAGGTAGATAGATATTAATGGAAATGCAAAACTGTATAACTCTTGGTTCAGAGATGATACCTTTTATTGAACCAACTAAGAAATCCCAACAAAAATGATCTTTTTTGCAAGCTCTTGGGTGCACACCCTTTCTCAGGCTCAGAGAAAATTAAAGGTGGTAAAAAGTCCCCATGGGTAGAAAATAAACTTCCATTTTGCACAGAGGAAGCTGAAGGTGGAAGTCTGTTCCTCTGGGTCCATGAAAGTGTCTTTTGTGAGTTGCTTTTTAATGCGTAGATAAGGCAGGATTCCTTTCCTGGTAGTGTCAGATGGCAAGCAGGAAGGTGTAGAAATCTTTCTTGTTCAGCAATGAAGTTTAAATCCAAAATTGGCTAAAATTTGGCATCTTCCATGTTTCAGAGATGTATTTGGTAGCCGTGTTGGTCTAACACGGCTACCAAATGCATCTCTATATATTAATGGCATTTCATTTTAATTATGAGAAAATGTGGATTTTGGGCTACATTTTTTAATCCAAAAATTGGGAAATATTTTTATCAGAGGAAACTAGGATCCCTGCTGATAAAGAATGTGTTGATACCAAGACTTGCCACACACACATGCTGATAAAACAACCAAGGGGGTTTTCTGATCTCCTGAATCCTGTTCTTCCATTGTAACAAACAGTTTTTTACCAAATCCCTGGCAATTGGATGGGTTACCAGTTCTAGTCTCTCATTTGCATTTGCCCTATCCCTGAGCTGTATCGCTTTGGTAGCTCAAAGTTGTATTTTAAGGGCTATGATTCCCTTTAAAAGCAGAGAAGCCCAAAGAGACTGTCTTTTTGCATACTGTTCTTGATTAAGAGGCTTCCCAAGAATATTGATTGGCAAAGGTGCTCTCAGGACTCTGAAGCACAGCCTCCTGCTTGTTCAATTGTAAATAAACCTCATTATTCTTTCTCCCTTGCTTTACAGTTATTGCATGTATAAAATCTGACTGGGTTTCATAGTGGAAGATGTACATTTACATACCCCTCAGACAAACTGTGTTAGGTTTTTGATTAACCCTTTCACTCTTAGCCATGCGTCTCAGTGCAGTATAAAATCCCAGCATTAAAGGGACTTCAAAGATCATCTAGTTTCATTCCCTGCACAGGTGCAGAATTTACAGTTCCTAAACTATCCCAGGCAGAGGCCTGTTGCAGCCTCTTATTGCAAACCTCTAGGGAAGGAGATTCCACAACTTTCGTTCTAGGCAGCTTGTCCCATTGTCCTGCTGTTCTTACAGTTAGGAGGTTTTTCCTGAGACTTAATCTAAATCTGCTTTTCTGCAGTTTAAACCCATTTCCTTTTGCCCTTCCTTCTGTGGCAGGGTACAATAATTTGTATCCCTCTTTACTGAAGCCATTCAAATATTTGAAGACTAATATGTTCTCCCCTACCCTCCACACTTTCCTTTTCTCCAAACTGAGCATACTTAGTTCCTTCAATATTTCCTCATACAGCCTTCATTCCCAACCCCTTTAACATCCTTGTTGCTTATCTCTGGTTCTTCTCTGGCTTTTCTGCATCCTTCTTAAACTGTGGTGCTTGGAACTGGACATATTACTCCAGCTGAAGCCTAACCAGCACTGAGAGTTGTGCTATCATCTCTTGGGTCTTGCATACTGTGTCTAATGCCACTCAAAACTGCATTTTCTCCACCATAAGCCCCAGATCCTTCTTGGCAATCCCATTTTGCATTTATATTTTTTTCTTCCCTTTGGGTAGAACCTTATGGTAGTCTTTGTTGAACTTCACTGATATCCAAAGATGACTGCTTCAATTACTGAGGATCTCTTTAAGTTTTAATCCTATCCTCTGAAGTATTTGTCATCTGCAGATTTGATCAATATATTATCTATCCTTCCATCCAAGTCATTAATAAAAATGTTAAAGTACCATTGGCTCCAGAAGAGCCTGTCAACCCCTAAAACCTCTGCTAACCTGAAATTGATCCATTGATATTTACTCTTTGCTTTTGATTATTACACAAGTGATATATAATGGTAACAGTATCATTGTAATTCTGTCTTGCCCACATTTCTCTGGCTTCCCTATGAGAGTGGCACGTTGGACTCTGTTAAAAGCCTATTTAACTCCAGGTATATTATGTCCACTTTATTCTGCTTATGGACCAAACCTGCTTTCCTGTCAGTGAAGGAGATCAAGTTGGTTTGGCATGATTTGTTCTTAATAAATCCATGTTGGCAACTAGCAATCACACCATCATCTAGATGTTTACAAACTGAGTGTTTTATAATTTGCTCTAATAACTTCCCAGGTATCAAAGTCAAGCTGCCTGTTCTGTAATTTCCAGAGCCCTCCTTTTTAAATATGGGTACCTTCTCCAGTCCTCTGGGACTTCACTTGTCCTTCATTAATTTCAAATGTTATTGTTGCCAGTTCTTTGAGGTTTCTTCAGCTAGTTCCTTCCATATCTCAGGGTGATTTCCATCAGGTCACTCTAACTTTAATTTTTACTATTATGAATGATTTTTTTTTTGATTGCATTCCTTTACTTATCAGGAACTACATTTTTTTCCCCACTCTTTGTTTACATAAACTTTGCTAGTTGTCTGACTGAAGTTCTGATTTGTGAAGACTGGAGTAAAGCAGGCATTTAGCTTTGCCTTCTTTGTGTCTACTGCTAATAGTTCACCTTCTCTGAGCAGCAGAGCCACAGTTTCCCTGATCTTTTTTTTCTGACCTGCTTGTAGAACCCTCTTGCTGTCACCCTTAACATCTCTTGTCATTTATTTGCCATTTAGCTACTTCTCTTTAGCTTTCCTTATTCTTGTCCCTAAATATTTTTGTTGTTCCTTTGTAAACTTTTTAGTGACATGCCTGCCCTTCTGTTTCCTGCATGTATCGTTTCATTTTTCAGATGCTTAAAAATCTCCTTGATGCAGATGTGACTCAATCCTGCTTATTGGATCTTCATTTAAATATAATATCTGATATTTGCATTCTCTCTCTCTCTCACATTTCCTCAGATGGCTGTTCTACTGCATGCATAATTGGAACTGTATTTTGCATGCAAACCTAAGGTTTTCTGAGCTCATAAAAATATTAGGGAGGTTTCTAAAAGTTGTCAGTGTGAACTATGAAAATTCAGTAGCCATATTTGAAAGGAGAATTATAAATAATAGTTGCCAAAGAATGGACACGTTTGTCACTACAAAGCTACTTAAAAGGATTACAGGTATGATACTGCTGTGGTAGTGAAGAAAAGTCTGATCTAATCCATACAAATGTATTCATCCCCTTTAAAATGAACAAATGTTTTGAATAAAAATTAAATAATTTCTTGGTCCTAAGTCAGAGAAATGCTTGTATTCTTTAGAGTTACCTTTCATATGCTTTTATATGCTGTGGGCATAGTCAAATGAATGTGTACTTCTTAAATACTAGGGCTCAACTCCTCCAATGACCGTTTTCAAAGGAAATAAAAGGCCATACCAGAAGGACTGTGTACTTATTATCAATCATGACACTGGAGAATATGTGCTTGAAAAACTTAGTAGCAGCATTCAAGTCAAGAAAACAAGGTAAAACTGGAGACACACATGGATTCATATAAATAATTTTTGCCAGAGCTAATGTTAATGGTGTTCTTTTGGGAGATGGCTTTGATTTCTTGTGGATTTTTGTATAATGTTTAATCATATGGACCTAGTGTGACCAATCATGCCTTAACAAGTAAATCTCTATTGTATATGTATATCTGGGTGTAAGTGGTGGAATGCCCATTACTGAAGAGAGATCATTATAATTAATTATTGGCCGGTAATAGCTGATATTTTCAAAGTTTTTAAGCTGGCCAAAAGGTTGGGTGACTTTCAGGAATCTCTAGTAAAGCTGGAAGTGCCAACCCAGCAAATGGCCAGTTAGATTTGTCAGTAACAGATCTAAAGACTTTCTGCAGAAGTCATAAGCCTCTAGTTACTTATGCTAATTAAACTGGAAGAAACACACGTCTGCATAGAGTAGATAAATATACAAAACAGAGCAAAAGGCCAAAACTTAAAGGTGCAAGGCTTGAAAAATAATGGATGTATAATTATTTGTTGTAGGTTCTTGCCTAAAAGAATTGCTGAGGTCAGAACTTCTGCCAGATCTGAAATTCATACCTCAGTGCACAGATTACACTCCACAAAATATACAGATGAAATATATTTCAAAGTAGTCATGCTGATAGCTAGGCACCTGAAGTCTGTGAATTGAGTTCTTTAGGCACCGTTGAGCACAGTTCAGTTGAGTTTTAAGGAGTGTGCGGTTATTTAAATATCTCATGCATAAGTAATTTTTAAGTAGCTTAAAATGTGAAATGTTAAAAATGCATCACTGCAGTCATTGAACCATTGACTGAGGGCCTCCCAAAACTTTTTAGAGATGCAAATTGGGGCCAGGATGGTTGTTGGCTGGGAGACCCCCTAAAAACAGCTTGGCACTCATGATTCAGTAGGTCCCACTTCTCTCTGAGTCAGTGTATCAGCATGGTACTTCAGGACCCTGTACTTTGGGGGTCATTCATGTCTTTTTTTTTTTTAATGAGATGTAAGTGGTCATGATCACAGTTTTACATCTTTAAAGATCGCTTGGCATTCTTTACAATGGAGGAGTATTAGACCCGGCTCCCTCACCAGATTCAAAGCTGCATATCAACGACAGAAAAATTGGTCTTTATGTATTTAATTTCTGTGGGTCTGTCAGCATTGCAGGCCCCAGTGTAGTGTAGAGATATTATTGAGAGAGCTGTTAGTTTGCTTCTGGTACCTGAGGTTGTTCACAAACTGGCAGAGTAAATTAGCAGCCATGGATACTGCTTCCCAGTATCCAGCTCGGTTATCTGTATGCTACACTGCAGCTTTAGATGTACGCTGACTGGCAACCTTTTCAAGCTGCGGGCTGGAATGACCCACTCTGGGTCAGAGGCAGGCAGGATGGCGAGTGCTAGGCCAATGCCACTGCTAGCACTCATCCCCTGCAGTGGTACAGGGAGTGAACCCACCATCAAAGTCCCACATTTGTGGGCTGGATCCAAAGTTTTCACAGGCTGTAGGTTGGTGACCCTCGCCCTAACCAACTTAAGATGATTCAGGATGAAAGATGTTATCTATATCTAATTTGTTTTTAAAAGGATAAATATTCACTGGCAAACTAAAATCTTTTGTGTACAGAATATGTTATTGCTAAATCTCACATAGACTTAAAATACATTTAATAAGGATGCAACCCTGCAGTCTTTTCACATGCAGATTTCCTGTTAAACAGCAGTAATGTCATGTACTAAAAGAGAACAGTTTTTGGCACTGTAGCACTTACAATATGTAATTTGCAGTGAAGCTCCACAAGATGCAAAGTAAATAGGCATTCACACTGAAATCATTAAATAGATTTGGAACATGAATCTGACTAGGAAAAATTAATACAGTTCTATGGCACCACCAATATTCCAATATTATGCATGTTGTTTCAGAGCTGAGGGCAGCAGTAAGATCCAGGCCCGAATAGAACAACAGTCTGCCCGAGCCTCGCAGCCTTCATCACAGTTCAGAGCTCCAACCAAGCCAGCAGCTGGACCTAAAACCTCCCCTGTGAAAGACAACCCTTCACCTGAACCTCAGCTGGATGATATTAAGAGAGGTAAAGAACTGTTATATGATTATGTATTTATAAAGACTTAAAAGCATCTACTATTGGTACTTGACTGCTAGTCTGTGTTCTCTGGCACTCGTTCTAAGGATTCTTAATGAATTAGTTATTCTCTTCTGTCAATCTAGGCATTTATATTTGCTCATCTCTCCGTCTTATGAAGATCATTTGCTGATAATTTTAATCTCTTTCAAAATATTCCTTGTGTAAAAACAGAACTAAAAAACTTGAACAGTGTAACAATTGGATACTATGGGAGTTGTTTGCTTAGTTTAGCCAGCAGAAGACGATCCAGTCCTGTATGCATGTAACTTTGATAGTGATTAGGTGTGTACAGTATGGATCATATGCCCATATACTTGCTGTATTATTCAAGTTTCTTAAGGGTGCAGGATAGTAAATATTAGTGTCTTAACTAAACATATCTGCTCAACCAGCCATGTGGCCACAATTTAGGCCTTTGTGGGCATTGATCAGCACAATCTCTGCCCCTACCCTCTCCACCAAGATGGTGTTGTGCATGGTTTTACTGTGACTAGTGCAGTTGGAGCAAGATGCTTTCTGAATATAGGTTTTATCTGGGTCTCTTGGGTTTCTTGGCTTGGACTAGAATTGATTTTTATTTTTTTTTTTGTCTTTAAGACCATGCTGTTCTTTTCTTTTTTATTTTTAGAGTTTTTCTCTGCCCCACATAGCTGTTTTTTTCCTGTACACTTAGCCTTTATTAATTACCCTACATTATTCAGCAAAATTTTCTTCAACTTACACTAGGCGCTAGGAGAAATTTTCACGTTTCAAGCACCCATATGTTGCCTGGAGCACGTTGTTTACTCCTTGTATAAAATTTGAAGTATGTTGGTCAAAAGACGATGCTGAAGTCTATGGGTTTGTGAATTTTGATGCTTTTAGCGTCTCTCTGTTTTATACCTTTTTAATTTTGACATTTCAAATATGTGAAGTTAGTTAAGGGAAGAAACTACAGAGAGATCATTTTAATATCTGGGAAGGTTAAGTGTAAAAGGTTAGTGTATGGTCATTTCTCTGTTATTGGAACAGCCTATATTGGAGAGAACCTCAAAGTAACATCTGCCCATTTGCATACTTAGACATAAGGGCGTTTGGCTGGCACAAAAAGGGGAAAGATCAAGGTTGTATTTCATAGAGAGGATATTTTATAAACAATCCCAGTAAGAAAGGGAATGGATCCATTGGCAGAATAGTTCTTGCTGATAGAACAATTGTACTTGCCTTCAGGGGCACAACACAGAATATAATGTCCAGGGGATAGATGGTCCAAAGAGATTCTGTACTACCTTTGCATCCTTCTGGGATGACATAATTAAGTTGCTAAGTGAGTGGAGAGGCCCCTGAACTTGTCTTAAGTAAAAGCCACTTCCCCACACTAGGATGTGGGCTGTTGTACCTTGCAGAATCTCTGCAGTCAGTCACACCTCTGACATACCCCTATTGTCCTTGATATATTCCCTAGGGTAGGGTTTAGGAGCCAGCCTCATGGCCATCTCCACAGTGCCTATACCAAATAAATCCTTTCCCTGCTGGTTGTGAAACCTTTTGTGAACCTTTTGCCTCTTGGTGTAACAAAGGAGCCAAAATAACACAAGGATTTTGCCAATTATGAATACTTAGCTGCATCTGACCACACTTCATTGAGCAATGAAAATAAATGACCAGATTGTGGTGTGTATGGGGGGAGGGAGTAGAGGATTGCTGACATGAATAAAGCATATTTGAGCACAGCAGATGTATTTGTGGCAATGTTGACATAATTAAGATGTACAATATGCAGAAAAAAAATGTGTGTGTTTGTCTGTGTGTGTATATATGTATGTATTTTGCTTGAAAACTATGAATTCATTGCTTAAAAGTTGAGTAGCTCTATATACCTAAACTGCAGTTGTACTTTAAAATTTAACGTTATAAAAATGACAGCATAGAATTGCATAGTGTGTGTCAGGGATATCTGTGAATCAAAGTTATTGAGTTTCACTGTGCAATGTTGGTTTTCCTATCTTCTCTACAAACTCACAATACCAAATCAAATTGTTTTCTTTGTCTTGCGTAACCTTTCTTCTACCCTATATTCCGCTTGGGATGCATGGCCTTATAGTTGCAACTGTTAGGCATCAACAATGTGTTGTAGCCTTGGTGGTACTTTTAGGTACTACTACTAGTACTAGTAGTTTTAGACACTCAGTGGCCACATCTACACAAGATGCTGATGCTTGCACAAGTACTAAATGACTGAGCAGTAACCGTCATTACTGTGCAGTAGTGTCCCCAAACAGTTTTTTGGTGATGCTGAGTGAGCTGTAGCTTGTTACTACTTCTCAATAGCATCGCATCACATGTTGTGCCCTGCGACTCTACTGCGCAGTAGTAACGAGCTACTGCGCAGTCAGCATCTTGTGTAGATACAGCCAGCACTTCCAAGAATCAGGGCTAGTCAAAGACTTTGTAGATCGGAAGGTACATGAACTCAAATAAAAATGCAAGAGAAGAGAAGGCGCTATCTTTATATTAATGATTTCCTAACCTTCATTTTCTTTTAATCTAGAAATGTCTGATGTTGACTATTGTGTGTAGAATTGCAAGATTGTTTCACTTTTTAAAAAAGAAAAGTCAAGAAATCAGGTGTTTAAAACAAAAATATTAAAAATTCCCACAGCAGTCAACTTTACTAGACAGCATGTACTCATTAAAGCAGACTTATGTCAAAAAGCTCTATATAAAGTATATAGTAATACCAACTACTGCAGTTCTTGACTCTTGTGGTCTTTTCAACTTAATTTGGATGGACTTGGTTTGTTGACCTTAAGGAACAAAAGGTATGTTGATAAGTATCTGATTGTTCAGAGTTAAATTGGTATATTGACTGTGCAGTGTAATCATCATGCCTTTACAGAAAAAAAGACCAGAATTCCAATTTGTCTATACTGATGACTATAAAAAGAAGTCAGCATAACAGATGAATAGGAAAAATGTAAAATCTGGCATGAAGGAAGCAGCCTTGCTTTTCCTTTAGGATCTTGGTATTGCTGTTGACTCAGCTACCACCTTTGACATACTAAGACAACTGGGATTTAACTGACTTCCCTGAAAATCCTGTGGAAGCTCTGCAGGATATGTTTTTTAATGATACAGAGCAGCTGTGGCACCAATGAAGGCAAAGATTTCTTGGCCTCACTGGTAAATGATTTGAAATATTAAGTGTGTGGTACTCAGAGACAAGACTAGAAAGCTCCTGAAGGAAACTGCAAGCCCATGAGGCAGCAGCTGATTGGAAAAGGGCCTAAACTTTGCTAGTTTCTGTTGCTGATGATAAGCAATTTTCCAGCCCAGTTCCTCATGCTCAATATTATTGGTGTAACTTTGTTATTCCTTTCTCTGCTTTTTTCCACACATCCAGTCTGGCACCATATCTTGCCACCAGTTTCACCAAGATGTTTTTCCTTTCCCTCCTGCTAGATTAATCTTTTGTTCCTATGGGTTTACTGCTTGTCTCTTCCAGCATAGTGTCTCTCTCTTCCCCACCACCCCTTCCACCCCATTCTGTCTTTTGTATTCTAATTTTACTCTCCTTACACTTTTGCTGTATGTGCTATATCACACACGCACACTTTCTATATGGTGCAAATCTACCCTGCCTTTTAGAAAGGCAGTGGAAGAAAAGGATGTTGAAAACTGCAAGCAGGGGTTCTACAAATGTGTCAGATGCAAAAGAAAGATCAGGGAAAGCGTTCAGTGGAGAAGGTGAGGGATCCCAGAGGACACAAAAAAGGCAGAGGTAATAAATACCTAATTTGCTTTGGTCTTTACCAAAGAAAAAAGGTCTTCAGAAGATTATCAGCATTGATATAAACAAGGGATGTGGAAAAAAGTATAAAATTAAGCTAGCGAGGAAAGATATTCATATCTGGGGGTTTCCGCTTGGGAAAGAGGGGCTAGGTCCAGTTTACCCTGTGCTTGGTTTTTCCAAATTGCATATTTAAGTCCTGAGACAGTGTCTTTCATCCTTGAAAGTTACTGTAGAATCCTAGAAATACATCAGCAGGGAATACATTGAAAGGAGTGGCTGGGGAGTGTTCTTCATGCATCTTAAAATCCAAATATGAAACAGAATTTTAAAAACTGCAAGACTGAGTTAGGAAAGGAGGGAGAGAGAGATAAATTGCCTTAGAAGTTTACAAAGTCTTATTCCCTCCCATAGGCCCAATCATGTAAATCCAAAAAAGAATCTTTTTTCAGTCAAAAAGAATAAAAATAGTTATATTGCATATAGAGGAACTTCAGGTGACAACCAGTCTGTTCAGGGACTGCTGAAAAGGAATTTTTTTTTTTTTCTAATCCAGTGTGTAATTAGCCAGAAGAAGTCACTGCCACTCCCAAATACTAAGGAGACCAAGATTTAGTAGGGTTCTTTAGTTCCATCTCCTGCCCCCAATGGTGCTGGAAAGAGATGGGGGGGGGGGGTTTCCAGCTGCTTTGTCTGGTACAACACATAGTGCTCTTAGGAGGGCTCAAAGTAACGATCATCTTTATGACATTTTTTATGCCTAGAAAGGTTCTGTTTTAGATTATTTTGAAGATACTTTACACAGAAAGAATGGTCTTGTGATTTATGGGATAGAAGAGATACTTGGGGAAATCTGAGTCAGATCCCTGATTCCATCATTGACTTCCTGAGTGACCTGATCTCTTAGCCTTAGTTCTGCAACTGTAAAACAGGGATGTTTATACCTACCATCTCCCATGCTCTCTGTCTTGTCCACTGAGACTGTAAGTTCTTTAGAGCATGGACTCATTTCTTACTGTGTGTGAGTACAGTCTCTAGCACAGTGGGGCTTGAACTCTAAGGACTTCACATGCACATAGAGTATAAAAAGCCCTAGTTTTAATGTTACTTTCCATCTGATCCCTGAACATTTGGACTTTTTGGCTGGAGGGATTAAAGAAATAGTTCCACCAATATGTTCTAAAGCTTCTTAAGCAGTTTTTTTCACAGCTTGTGGCATATTCAAAATACACAATGGCAGTGTGGTTTGGGTATTTTGTCTTAGAACTGATTAGCAATGTGGCTAAGATCTTGTCAATACAACTGCTGTATTATGCTTGTATATGGTTACTGGAACTGCTAATGCATGGGTTCCCATTGTGTTGACTGTTTACACACAAACTCTTTGGAGAAGAGACTGTTTTGTCTGTAAAGGGCATGGTACTGTGGATACTGAATAATAATAATAATAATAGCATGGGAAGAAATGCTTTTAGATTCATGAAACTTACGTATCTAAAATATATGGGAGTTATAACCTTGCTTCTTTGGAATCTGCTACAGTCTTTGGACAGTTTCAAGTGTTTTGTCTTCCCTCACCTCTCCTTTATTTAAGTAAGTCCCTTGTGTATGTTGGGATTCTGAAATTGTTTGACAAAGCTACTGAAGCTTTACATTCTTGTTTTCCCCCCCATAACTCGTGGCATCCCTCAGTGTTTCAACCTACTCAATTTCATTTTATTCCAGAGCTGAGAGCAGAGGTGGAGATCATTGAGCAGATGAGTAGCAGCAGCGGTAGTAGCTCATCTGATTCAGAGAGCTCCTCTGGGAGTGACGATGAAAGCTCTAGCAGTGGTGGTGAAGAGTCTGCACACATTTCCCCTTCTCAGCCAACCCACCAGCAGTACAACAACAGAAACCCTGTTGCTAATGGTACCAGCAGGCCACAAGGAAGCAATCAGCTCATGAACACTCTCAGTAAGTAAAGGTTTGTGCCTTCTCAGTGTGGGAAGCTGTGTGTGGCTGCTGGTTTTCTAAGCAGGCAAATGTATGTCTGTAGAACGTAATTCACTCAATAGTTATCCCAAGCAGTTACGTGCACACAGGCTTAAATATCTGGACAACACATCTTATAGCCAAAAGGTCGAACTTATCTGAACTTGTAGAGGCTCCTTGGTTTTGAAGCAGGCCCCGTGTGTGACTGGGCAGCAAAGCCCCATGGGGTAGGGGAGGGGTGGAAGTGAGGCATTTTGAGTGAAGGAGGAAGGAATTGTTGGTGTTTTTTTTTTAATTTAAAATAAAAGACAAAAATCTGAACTTCCAAAAATGTGGATTGGACAGTCAAGTTGTGAAGTTGCTATCTGTGTGTTAGTTGGTTGAAGGCTGATGCTGTTCATGGCAACTGTTGACCTCTGGATCATGGTGTATGCAGAAAAGGTCTGTGTGACCATCACACTAAGAACTTCAGCGTGTAAACCTAGGTAAGAATATGAAGGAGTGGAGTCTGCCCAAGACCTATCACACCCCCTTTAGATCATTGAGGCAGAGTCCAAAGGCCAGACCGAGTCCAGGTGCTCAGAGCCTCAATGATTGTAGCTTCTGCCAGAGACCAACAGATCTGAGCTGCTGCTGACTGCCTGACTCCTCAGTAAGGACATGTTTCTGTTGGGGTGATGTTCCTTAGTCTTTCTCCAACCAAGGAGTACCCACAAGAAGTGGGGGCTATGGTTTTGAGGCACCCTATACTCACCTTACTCCGGAGGTTGCAACATTTGTTGTATTTTATAGGAGCTACCCTGCCACGAGTAGCCCCACCAGTGTTGCCACCAAGCCCTCCAGTCGGATGCAGTTTATGGTCATACCCAGGCTGACAATGTAGGGGTGTAAAAATATGAACCTGGCTTGCAAAAACAAAGGCTTTGCTTTACCTGGCTGGGAGCCAAGAAATATAACAGACCCGTTACAAAGTCTCCCTCTGACCAGAGTAATGACCTACTGAAATCGCAGTTTCTCAGATTCTGTGAAATCTGGCATTGCCTGCAAAATCTGCGGGGGAACTTGCTGAAAAGAAAATGCTGGCTCCCGAGAGGGAGAGGGAGAGGGGTGTCTGCCTGCTCTTGGCAAGATGGCTGCCATCCCCGCCCCTCACCACTGATTGGTTGCACAGGCTCCTGTCATGTGGTCCTGCCCCTCCACTAATCATAATGGGTGGAGCCATATGACAGGCAACCCTTGCAGTTGGTCAGCGATGAAGGATGGGGCCATCAGGGCCCTTTGGCTAATCGGAGGCCCCCTGTGCTTCGCCTGCAAAAGGGCTGCCAGGTCCTATGTTCTGCCCGCAAAATCAGGGGTAGCCACCCCGAATTCAGTAGGTCCCTACTTATGGGAGCACTGTTTGCAGAGATCTGACTGACAGATGCCCTGTCTTGGGTCCTGAGAAAGTTAGGCTTTCCCAAGCTTTTGGAGGGGTGATAAGTTTTAGATAAGCTAAGTATGTGTGCATTTCTTTTGTTGTTTTAAAATCCTTTCACTTATGCTTTGCTTTGTTCTTACTGCTAAGATTAAATAATTCTTTGGTTTAAAAAGCTGTGTCTTAAGCACTGGCAACAGCTCTTGAAGGACTGGCAGGTCCTGAACCCAGTTAGGCCTGCTGAGAAATCACAGTTGCTATTTGTCAGAGCATAGTCTGAGCCCAGGTCTGAGATTAAGGGAATCCTGGGACTGTGCCCAGAGAGAGGTGCAAGCATTAGGTCAGAGAAAGAAACACTTGAAGAGAACAGAGGATGGAGAAGAAATGCAGCTCACCCTGTAACCTTGACAAAGAGTACAGAACTGAACTTCATGTAGATTTAGAGACTTCTGCTGTTTTTAGATTCCCTGATTGCTGCAGAGTTTGTAAATTTGCCAGAAGAGGGTGAGGAGCATTTAGCCTGAGCCTAGGCTTAATGGATTAAACACAGCAAACTCCCTAAACTGTGTATCACTGGGCTTTTTATCCCTCCCTTTTCTTGAATGCTTCAGAGACTAAATGTAAATACTATTAATGTTGTATTAAGGTTGACACATCAAGCACTCCAAAACCAGGATGTTTCAGAAACAAAGGTTGTTCCTACATCATTAATTTAGCCATGCTGTTTACACAACACTTTTCTCCTGCTTTTTCTTTTCAGTGTAATTTTTTCTGTCTACCAGAAACCTGCAACCTCACATTCAGTATAGCACAGGTCAGCTCAGGAGTGGGCAAAATGCGGCCCGGGGGCTGGATGCGGCCCACCAGGCCATTCTATCTGGCCTGTGGGGGCCCTAAAAAATTTAGAAAATTAATATTAATCTGCCCTGGGCTGCCTGTAATGCCGCCGTTGATGGCTTGCCAAAACTCAGTAAGTGGCCCTCTGCCCAAAATAATTGCTCGCCCCTGGGTTAGCTAAACTATGCAATCCTGTCCCCTCAAATGTCTTCTCTTCTTGCCCTGACCACACTGTAGGAGATGGAAAAAGGGTGAGGAAACTACATGGCTGACCCATGTCAAAAGACATGGGTTCCCTGTCTGTTTCCCCCACATTGTCTGAAAAACTAGACTTAAAAGTTGTGACAAAGCCTGTGGCTTCTGTAGCAGATTCAAGCAAACTAAATATGAAAAAGACTGCATGGCTCATTTTTCGATCTTGCATTTCTTGTGTTACTTAACTTGCATTGAATTCAGTTAAATAACTTGCTGCCCTCAGGTTTTCAATGGTCTGCAGATTTGGTAATTGAAAATAATTTTGTTGTAGAAATTTTCAGGATACAGCTGAGGTTTTTGGCACTCAAGAAGGTGTGAGGGATGAGGTAGTTTGGACTTGTTATTGAGGAAAAACTGTATCTTTTCTTTCCTGCCATGCTTTGGAAGGGATGATGGAGATAGAATGGGGGATAGAATAGCAGGGCTTTTAAAATCTCCATTTTATAAAGAACAGTCAACTATTACAATTAACTGATTTATCCTTGGGGAAAAATCTTAATCAGTTTTCAATACAATGTTTACAAAAAGGCAGGACTAGGTTTCATAAAGAATTCTTAATTTTGCCTGTGGCAGTCATGAGTACATTTCTTGATGCCCTGCAAATGGTTAATTGGGCGTCTTTGTATGCAAATAAATATAGGATTTACATGTTCAAATAGATATCAGATACTGTCAGTGCAGTGTTGGAATGAACTGACTAAATAGTGCATCCTAACAATTCATAATGAGTCCAGTACCTATGGAAAACCATTAATATTGTTAATTAGTATTCAGCTCTTCTTGTAGGGCGAGATCTAAAGCCTGTTAGAGTCTGAGAGAGACTTTCCATTGATTTAGTAGATTTTGGCTAGGCTTTAGTTTAGGGTATGGTCACACAATCAAGTTTCCATTAGGCAAGCCAGGGGGTGAGCTTAAAATACACCAATTGCCTGTGTATTCACTTCCCTCTGTAAACAGGAGGGATTTTACCCCTCAGTGAAAATGGGACAATCTAGTGTTCAGCTGTGGTGGCGTACGAGTATGTACACTAGCAAATATCTCAAAGTAACTAACACACTAAGTTCTCACTAGCTTACCAGTAACTTGTGTATGTTCATGTTCCTGCACCCAAAGGAGGGCAGTTTTGCCATGCTTGGAATATGCTCATATTCCAGAGACTTGATCCAGCATATATCCGTGATCCAAGTCACTGATACCTATCTGTCACATGAACACCATCCACCCTGGGGAAGGTGATGTACCATGGAAACCCCAACATCAGTTTGGAGAGAGACTTTGGGGAGAAGAAATCTGAGAAGGGTATCTGTTGAGTAGGTCTTCTGCAGCAGGCCTGCATTTGAAGCAGGGGTGCAAAGGGAGATGGGCATATTGGAAAAGGCAGGCTTACAAAAATGTAAATGACCAGAACACTGTAAGAGCAGGGCAGGTGCTATTTATATATAATGAGTATGCTGTGAGGTCCTGAGCCTCTGAAGCAGTGGGTGTGCCCTTCTTCGCTGACTTGTAAAAAGGAGTGCCATGTGAGGTCAGCCCAGTTCTCTTGAGCACTGCCACTTTCAGATTTTTTCCTACTGATCATTACTTGTTGGGTCCTGCCTTTGTTACCAAAACTACCATTAAAGAAAAAAAATCTATTTGAATAGTGTAGATGGAGCCAGAAAAATTTCCCAGTGTCTTGCCCCAAAGCCGTATATGGCAGTGTGGCTGGGAGGAGACTGTGGAATTCATTCCACAGCTGCTAGAGAAGGGAAGGCTTCTTGCTGAATAGGGAGTAGCCTCTCTGTCTGTGGAGCCAAGGAGATTCAACTGTGCCTGGATCAGCCTGTACAGAAACTCTGCAAATGTTAATGTTCTTGCATCCAGAAAGTGATTATATTAGATGAGCTTCTGAGATGCCATTCATGTTCATGCCTGTGTAATTGTTGTTTAAATCTCCTACAGTTTAAATGTAATAATTCTTCAATTTGAATATAATCAAAGTATGAATTAACTTCTAGCCCCTGTGTTTTGTTGTTTTTTTAATAGGAAATGACTTGCAGTTGAGCGAGTCTGGGAGTGACAGTGATGACTAGAACCTGAGTTTTCAATGTTTCTGCTGCATATATATGAAGAACTAATTTACTTTGCAATGAGCCTGTTGCTGATGAAGGAGCTGGTATAAAGATGGCTTCATGTGTGGAATTTTAGTAGAAGCAATGCATAACTCTATAAAATATCCAATGTTATGTTAAACCGAAGACAAGGATGGTTTTACTTTGTGTATGAAGTGTATATTTTGTGTATATTCTATTCTTTTAAGGTTTTAAATAGACATGTATAGTCAATAAACCAATCTGTGTTCCAGACTGTTAACAATCTGTAAGGCATAATCCATTATCTCTTGACGTAACCTAAATATTTCCTGTTCACAGGAGATGTTCAGTACAGTTGTACTTTATCCTATACACCGTTCTTATTTCTAGACAAGAGCCAGCAAGTAGTTAAAATAATAATAAAAAAACCACAACAGAGTAAGGACTGGAGTGTATATTCAAGTGAGAGCATTGTAAGTTAAATTTCAACATTGGATTGGTTAATTCTGTTTGAGACTTTTCTAATGCCTTCTTTCTTACTGTTTTGACTTAACATGATGGAAATACATTAGACCATTGTAATAGAGATCCTGAACACCAGTCTTAATTGCTAACGTTGTTGCACCAGTGCCTTACAGGATAATTTTTAACTAAAATTTCAGTTGCTACCACCATTTTCACGGAGAATAATCTTAAATTCTGTTCCATTTTCGTTTACAAACAACCCCTGTAGAGCAGTGTACATGCATGCCATCTTATGTATAATAATGGGCACTGAGGACATTGACTCTCTCACAACAAAGTATGTAATTAAAACTTCGAAGTTAGAAACCTAACTGTTGTCTCGTGTACGAACCAAGACATCTTTCTTTAATACACTTCAGTGTCTCATTTAACTCCCATTTCAATGAGTTAGGTGCCTAAATACCTCGGTCTCTACCTATAATGTCTTAAATGCTGAATGTTGACACTGTTTAAGTTACTCCAGAGTAATCCAGTGGGAACCGGAGAGAAAATCCAAGCCACTGTACAGCTAGAACTCATAGGGCATTTTTACATGTGCTTCGGGAGTGGCAGAGGTGCTTTAATTAATTACAGCAGCTCTCAGAGCTGCTCTAAAGTGCCTGCAGTGTCTGGTGTATCAGCACCCCTGTGCTTCAAAATAGTGGCAGGGGCACTTTAACTAAAGCTCATTGAACAAGCTTTAGTTAAAGCACCTTCACCACCATTTTGAAGCACGGGGATGCTGATATACAAATTGCAGAGGTTGACTGGAGTGTGCTAATTAGCACGCTGTAGCAGACTTGATTAATCGAGTCTGCTCCGACACACTGTAATTCCAGCACATGGAAAAAGTCTCCTGGCACGTCTACAGGCACCCATAGGTACAATTTTGAAATGAGTACTCCAAAGAGCTGAATAAACAATGGCCATCAAAAACAGCAAGGAAAGCCAAAGGGTACCTGTAGACATGCAGGACACCTGCTCCAAAGTGCTGTAATTACAACACATCAGAGCAGACTCAATTAATCTTGTCTGCTGGAGCAGGCTAATTAGCACATTCCAGCAACTTTGTCCTGTGTATTCAGCATCCCTGTGCTTCAGAATGGTGGCAAGGATGCTTTAACTGAAGCTCGTTGAATGAGCTTCAGTTAAAGCACCTGTGCTGCCATTTTGAAGCATGAGACGCTGAATACACAAAACACTTTAATTAAAACACCTCCCTGCCCCACCCCTGGAGCACATGTAAAGACGCCCAAAGTTCTCCACAGTATCTCACATGGCATTTTCCCCAGATTGTTTCTTGTTGGGATCTCTGTGAGTTCCCAAACAATAAGATCCTCACAACAAGAAATACTTGCTTGTTTAAGGTAAAATTCACCTTTTATTTTTTTAATAGTTACATGGAAAATAAATGGCGTGTAGATCTCATGCTGGCTTTTCAACACAGGGCTTATAATATGTAACCCATGGTGAAGGTCAAGTGGCACTATATTTCTAATGTAAACTAGGAAATACAAAGCTGAAGTGGACACCCCCTCCATCTTTAGTTCTCAATGTTTACTTCTCTGGTGATGTCTTAGTCTGCTGTTATGTATATGTTTTATCTGCTGTTTGTTAGTTTTTTGCTTTAAAAAAAAATGTTTTGGAGATCTAGGAGACTTTGAAGGAAGACTATAAATAAACCAGATTTATTTTTCTGCATTAGATACATATTTAGGTAGGCATCTTTTTACATTCTTGTACATATTTTCATTTTAAAAAAATATTTGTTTTTAAAAGTGTTTTATGATGCGGATACATATTTTACAAGTAATTATTAAATATAGTTGGTGGTTTATAACCAACAGTTATTTGATTCTTCCCCCCACCCTCCGATGAGCAAAATGAATACAGGTGTTCTCTTCTTACCATTCTGTAAAAGCTTTTTATTTTATTTTATTTTTTTAATTTGATATAGCATTATTTTAATTTAATGTTAGTTTGCAGCCCAATCAGTGATTATGCTATTCCTCACTTTCCACTGACTTACAGTTCAGATAAGCAGGGAAGTATTTATCTATTATTAGTTCCCTACTATTGTAGCACAAGTTGACATTCTGTTTACAATATTCTTTTAAAATGAAAATGCAGCAATGCAATACTTGCATTATAAATCACTTATGGCATGTGCTTTCTAAAACGTGGGCATTTCATAGGAAGTTTGCTGATTTATTCAAAGAAATCTCTACAGTTTAAAAGGGAAAAAAACAACATCAGGGTAGACTAATTTCAGTCATAATTTAAATTAGCAAGATGGAAACCTTAATTTAAATCAATTTTATCTTGCTTTACATTTATTCTTTAAGGCTTTTTTCATATAGAAAGGTAGAAAGGCTGTTCCTGCACTCCCACCCCGAATAGTTACCATTAAAATGTGTTGATTTGCAGCTAAAAATACAGTATATTGTTTATGCTATATTTGGCACTTCTTTTTGTGACCCAGGAAGATAGACCATATCTATACACATCTAACTTGCATTTATTCAAATTATTATTTTTTCCATTTTTATCAGGTTTGGAAATGTTAATGATGCATTTCTTTTTATTAGATTATTAATATTTTATTCATAATTTGTGTCAAGCTCTATTTTAATAGAAACAGGAATTTAATTAAAATGCATAAAACAGCCATTTACATTTTTTATTAGTTAAATAAAATAGAGTTAAATGCGCTGAATACATAAAAAAAAATAGTTTATCGAAACATATTTCACAATATAAATATTTTAAATGAAGTGTTAGCTGTAGTTGGTGAATTTGTTAACTATAGTTAGTGAATTGAGCTGATTGGGTGCCTATACACATGCAGAAAGACTACTCCAATGCACTGTCATTACAGTGTATTGGAGAAAACTTGATTAATCAAGTCTGCTGGAGCATGGTAATTACTGCATTCCAGCAGACTCCAGCATCACGTGCATCAGTGTCCTTGTGCTGAAAAATGATGGCGGGAGCACTTTAACTAAAGCTCATTGAACATGGGAATGCTGATGCACGTGATGCTCCAGGTTCTTTAATTAGAGCAGGTCTCAGAACTACTCTAATTAAAGCACCCTCCTCCCTCCCCCCACCTGGAGCACATCTATAAACATCCATTGTTTCTGGTCACTGTGCACTGTTAGTAGAACAAGCAGATTTTCTCTCAGATCTAGCTTTTATTGAAGAGGAATATAAAATGTCCTCCTTTGCAATCAGATCAGCTTCATATGGATTGAACTAACTGAAGAAACTGAAATGAAGAAAATATCCTCTCTGTGCCTGCAGAAGAAACAACTGTTGTTAAAAGCTGGTTTAGCATTTCAGCTAACACTGGTTGTTCTGGGTGCTTAGCAGATGACATCTACCACTCCAGGGATTTTAATTTCTTTAAAATGTTAGCAGCAAATATGTAATATTTTCATTTATTTTACATTATTAGACATTAGTGTAGGTTGCCCATCTTCAAATTTAATTATAAAGATTTATTTTGAAAAAAGAAAAATGTATCATTTAAAATGGGAAAGATTCAATTTAAATACAAATCGATGCTTTTCATTTTTTGTAATAATGGAATTGTATCCATTCTGAGCAACTTAATAAGGAATTTAACATATGCTCCAGAACATATTAAAAAGTCCAATAGTTTATAGAAATTTTTCTCCCTCATTTTTGCATTTATTCCAACCACTGAGATCTGGTAAATTAGACAGACAATAAACAAGCTAACCAAACTAAAACATGTACATGGTTACCATAAGGTGCACATTTATCCTGCTCCCTCAAAAGCCATATGGTCTACTCTGTGTATGTGCTCTACAACTTAATACTCCATCATCCAAAAAATGTAGAACACCCAATGCTCCCAGAAGCCTGGTGTTAATCAATTAAAATTAAGATGAAAGACCAATAAGAAAACATTCTAAGTTGTGGTGTTGTTTTTTTTCCGGTGTCAGAGAGATGGGTACTCAGTTAGGAATAACTCAGACTTGAATGAAGTATAGTACAACAATTTTAAAGATACTGTGCCTAAAGTTTATTTGCATAGTTTGCTTTATCATAGACTAGATGGATGTGTGTTTACACTTATTATCAACAAAAAAAAAATTACAGCAAAAAGCTTTATAATTTCTTTCAAATTCAATTTATTTAAATAAAAAATGAAGTTCAGCAATCTAAGTGTGTGCGCGTATGTTTTTCTTTTTTTCTTTTTTAACTGGGAAACTAATTAGTGGAATTGTACCATGGAGGACACACTTACAGTAGCACTTCAGACTTTATTGTTCAGTGTGTTATGCATCTGCTGCTAGTAGATGATCCACAGAGGGCATAAATCTACTACAGTTGTCAGATAATGGAGTTATTCCTTTTCTTCAAGTAGTCACGGATCATTCTAATGGCACTGAAGATCTCAGGGTTCAATTCCCAGTAATAAATCATGACTCGTTAAAACTTCATTTGGGTACAGAATATAAAGGGGAAATTTTGAAGTTGAACCTCAGCAAAAATCTTTGAGTGATATGCTAGATTGTGGAAGTAGTGTCACTCCAACCTCCATTGTCTGGAGAATTTAGATTGGAGAAAGCAGTATAGCCTTTATTGTAGGGAAGAAATCCCTGTGCATAATGGGTCTCTTATGCTTACTTCTCTAAGAAATACTGCATAAAAGCCAAGTACTTATTTAGCAGCTTCTTCCCATCATTCATGTTTATGATCTTTGCCACCAATCTAAGAAGTCCCTCTTTTCTTTATATTTCTATTATTATGCAAGTATATGTTAATCCTGAATTATCAATACCACAATGTAGAGGAAATTAAAATGTTACAAACAATGGTTATGTTTATACCCCCTTACTGTGTTTGGTAGTAAATGATAGAACACTGGTCGATTGGGTCCAGAGGATTCTTTGTCCTCCTCTGTGCTGGGATTTTCAAAGTGTTTAGATTTTGAGCTGACTAAAGAGAACTAGATTCCAACTTGACCAGTTTATTGTTTTCCTAAACTAACATTTCCTTTATGAGTAGAATTTGAGAGGCTCTATTTTACCAAGCAAGCTAGCATGAACAAACATCAAACTTTCAAATCCTAAACTATATATAAGGATTTATACCTTGTTTTTAGCAAGGCTTTTGATATGGTCTCCTGCAACATTCTTGCAAGCAAGCTAAGGAAGTATGGGTTGGATGAATGGACTGTAAGGTGGATAAAAAACCTGCTGGATCTTTGAGCTCATAGGGTACTAATGAATGGTTCAACGTCTAGTTGCCAGCTAGTATCAAGTGGAGTGCCCCTGCAGTCGGTTCTGGGGCTGG